TATCCGATTCCGTATAATGATCTAGGAGGTATATACATATTCACCTTGAAGATGTTAGGATCAATTTCAGCCACTGGCCAACAAGCTTCTGGCTAGAGGAAACGCTTCCATATGTATCATCAAGTAGAACCTACCCATACCCAAGAAATAAAAATCATAAGAATTGCCCCCGAACTAAGAGAACGTGCTAGACATGATTTCGACTATGTGTGGTGTTTATGTGAAACATCGCAGACTCGTCTGCTACTAAGGCAGGACCGCCTCTAGTGCGCACACTGCGACGCAGCTTGCCTCATCTCAGAAGCTTGCATCTTTCCTTGTCATCTTCATGCACTTTCATACCTAAATAAGGCATGTATTTTGGTAAAGGTATTGGATATCGATTATCCAGGCGATCTTGCTGGATTGGATGCAATCGTGAGTGCAGACTAAATGCCATACAGCACTGACAGGACGACTCTGTGCTGGCTATGACGTGCAATTGAGCAATCATGCCACGAAATGTATGCCAAAGACCAACCACTACGTTCCCAACAGCAGATTAGCCCACTGCATAGGCGCGCTTACATTGCTTCCCGGTAGCCTGAGGCCGTGCTGTGGCCGTGCTGTGGCCAGAGTTGTTGATATTCTGCGAGCGGTTGAGAAGGGAGGTTACTGTCGACTTCCCAAGAACAGTGCCAATGCATCTCCTCTCTCAGACTCCAGCAATCTGGTAATTCCATTCTGGCCCTGCGGTTGGCAAAATTCCCAAGGTGGTGCCCCCGGATGGCACCCATCGGCGAAGAGACCATAATATTCGGCAGCCGAGAATATGGGAATCGGAGCCAGGTCTCGAGAACAATACTTCATACGTATCGAGGGAACAAAGCTTTTCATCACGAACGGTCTCAGGGGTCCAAGAAAGGTCATATAAAGATACATATGCAGAGATGCGCAAGTACGGTGAAGTACTATAAGTATCGTGAGCTATATTATTCCTATGTAACTTATAAACCCATATTGCTTAGCTTATTGTTAGCAATATTTGCGATCTGAATTGGGCTCAACTGGAAGTACCCTCGAGCACCTAGTAGAAATGAGGCTGGGAACTAGTATATGCACGAAGGCCGATGTCTACTTGGGTGTTGTCGGACGGATGCATATAATGGCCTTGTCAGTCGGAATATTTGTGTGTTCAATTTTACGTCGCTTCTCTCTCAGACGTATCTTAGATGCTAGCTTTGTTCCGTAGAACAATGTGCGGAATAAGAAGTATTGAAAGGAATAGGTTAACATTGAGTGATGATAAACAAAGCAATATAAGGTCGATGAGGGGTATTTTAATAGAGACATCAAGAATTGCCTTGACAATTCAAATCACCACATTTATTTCTTAGTCCTGGTGTTAATTAAGAGCGAAGCACAAGTGTGAAGGCTTCCCGTCGTTTGCTTCAAGAGTTTCGAAAAGAAATAGTAACTCTGACGTCAGCGGATTTACAGTCGAGGAGGAACCTTTACTACATAGTAGCAGTCAATACCTTACGGACCCGCCCCCACCTACAATTCCCTTTGGCTGGACGGAATTTCTTGTGGCGGCCTCAGGCAGCCATTGGTCCCATTGGTCCCACAACTATTATTATTGCACAAGATTTTACTTGTGAAAGGTCGAAAATTTCATTGCCCCACTATACTTGCCCCACCAAGTAGCCCACCAACGAGCCACGACCCCAAAGATACAAGCGTAAGGAACTTTTATCGCCCCCGCGCAGATTCCTCCCACTTCCAATCCACTCCCAAACAATTCAACAACTCAGAAAAAAGTTTACGGAGGATAAATCTTTTTTCCTTTTGTTTCCTATTAGTTACTGTCGAGTCTTGGGAAACAGGCCGTTTTTCCTCTCGTGATAACTACCCACTCATTCCATCCTCTCCATCAGACGGTCACATTCGCTTGTGATCGTTATCATAACCGATAACTTGCGGTTCCTATCAATAATATTACAGTAGCCTAAGCGGGGTACATTTTCCTCGATTTTTTTCGATTACTTCGATTACTTTGATTACTTCGTCCATCTTCATCATTCCCTCGGTCGGTCATAGACAAAAAGGATAAAACGCTTCAAGATGGTTTCCGCATCCAAAGAGAAGAGACTCGCCAAGAAGGCCGCTGAGGGCAAGGGCGAGAAGAAGACCCTCGTCTCTAGGTCCAAGGCTGGTTCCAAGACCGCTTCGAAAAATGCGAGCGCAGCCGGTTCCGTCGCCGGTGACGACACCCCTCCCAATCTCGACGATGTTCCCGCAACCGACGACACTAAGATGGAGAAGGTCAAGGCATTGTCAGACCAAAAAGACAAGCACGGCTTATCCGATCGTATCACCACCGGTGTGTTGGCTTCCGTAGCCACTAGCAGGGACGTCAAGATTATCAGCGCCAGTTTAACCTTCCACGGTCGTGTTCTCCTTAACGAAACCGACCTCGAGTTATCGTTCGGGCGCCGATATGGATTATTGGGTGAGAACGGTTGCGGAAAGAGTACCCTCCTCAAGGCTATTGCTGCGCGGGAGTACCCCATCCCTGACCATGTTGATATCTACCTCCTCAACGAAGGCGCCCCGCCCTCCGACCTAGGCGCCCTGGAATGGGTTCTCAAGGAGGCTGAAAAGGAGATGGACCGTCTAGATAGGCTCGCAGAGCAGCTGCTCGAGGATGAGGACCCCGACAGCCCGGTGCTAATGGATATTTATGAGGTATGATATTATCGATGTGATTTCCCAACTTATGCTAACTGAACACAACAGCACATGGATAAGATGGATCCCTCGACTTTTGCCACCCGTGCTTCCCTTATCCTGACAGGTCTGGGTTTCAACAAGGAAACCATCCACAAGAAGACGAAGGACATGTCTGGTGGTTGGCGTATGCGTGTTGCCCTTGCTAAAGCGCTGTTCGTCAAGCCGACCTTACTGCTTCTGGACGACCCGACTGCTCACTTGGATCTCGAGGCCTGCGTGTGGCTCGAGGAATACCTAAAGAAGTGGGAGCGAACACTGGTCCTGGTTTCTCACTCGCAGGATTTCTTGAACGGTGTGTGCACCAACATGATTGACATGCGCAAGCAGCAGCTCATATACTACGGTGGTAATTTCGACTCTTATATCAAAACCCGCAAGGAACAGGAGACCAACCAGATGACGGCCTACAAGAAGCAGCAGGAGGAAATCAAGCACATCAAGGAGTTCATTGCCAGCGCCGGTACCTACGCCAACTTAGTGCGACAGGCTAAGTCCCGACAGAAGATTCTCGACAAGATGATTGCAGATGGTCTTATCGAGGAAGTTAAGGAGGAGAGGGAGTTCAAATTCAGATTCACCGACGTCGAGAAGCTACCTCCTCCTGTCCTGTCTTTTGACGATGTCACATTCTCATACTCGGGCGAGGCAAAGGATGACCTCTACCGCAACATCGATCTTGGTTTCGATATGGACTCCCGAACAGCTCTTGTAGGCCCGAACGGTGTCGGCAAGAGTACTCTCCTACGCCTGATGACGGGCAAGCTCTCTCCTACTTCTGGGTCTGTTCGTCGTCACACACATCTCAAGCTTGGTCTATACTCTCAACACAGTGCCGAGCAGCTCGACTTGACCAAGAGCGCTTTGGACTTCGTCCGCGACAAGTACCGGGAAAAGTCGCAGGACTACCAGTATTGGCGTCAAACTCTTGGCAGATATGGTGTATCTGGTCCTGTTCAGACTGCTCTAATGGGTACCCTATCTGAAGGTCAAAAGAGTCGAATTGTATTCGCCCTCCTCGCCATTGACTCACCCAACATGCTCCTTCTCGACGAACCCACAAACGGTTTAGATATCCCCACCATCGATGCCCTAGCAGACGCCATCGACCACTTCAGTGGTGGTGTGATTGTTGTTTCTCACGATTTCAGGTAAGGATTGTCTTTTATCCAACCTTGTGTAAATAAATGCTAACGAGTAGGATAGATTACTCGACAAGATTGCCAAGCAAATTCTCGTATGCGAGAACCGAACGATCAAGCCGTGGGACGGCACAATAGGAGAGTACAAGAACTACCTGCGGAAGAAGATGTTGGCTGCCGGTGCAGTTTAAAGTACATTTTCCTTGGTACTCTGGTTGACCGTGCGAATGCTATCGCTCATGACAGATATTCAAGCTGTCGTAGTACGGAACCAGGAATGCATACATAGTGGTCGCGGCTCGGGGGTCTATAGATTGGGCATCGACGCATAGAGCCGCAGCCTAGGGTTTGAAAAGCTTTGTTTTTAAGACAGGGCCATGTGAATTGCGAGAAGCCGGCGCCGGTATGCGCTGGATTTTTCGCGGACTGGAATAGATTAGATGAAATAAATATCTTTAGCATGCGAGTGGTATTATGAGTGACTTTCTAGTTTCTAACTTACGTTTCTCGGCCTCTCCTATCATTCCGTGGAAGTCTAATTGATATGCACAGATGGCTCTCTAAGCAATTAGGTAGGCCTCCGTATTAATACTCCCTTGTAATGAGGCCCTTCCGTTAAGCCAACGGCAAGATGATCGCCTTCAAGAGGTAGTGCTGAATGTCACTCCAAGGGAAATGTGTAATGACAATACTCCGAGGATTTGTTCACTCATAAAATGTCTGAGTCATAGGAAATCATCACCATACCTATCTTCTCACCTGCATGGTAGCGACCGTCTGACTTGCGAATAGTGACAAGTCTTTCTCTCCCCGCCTTCACCCGCCATTGCACTTGCAAACGACTTCTCAACATACCACCAACCCAAAACCTCTCTCAGTCCCAATCTCGTCTCTCACTAGCCTCCTCCCAGCCCTACCTACACTACACTACTACCAAAACCTCAACTATTAACCCCTAGCGTACGGACCCATACCCACATCGCGACGCAAACTTCTCACAACTTAGTCACCTACTTTACCCACCACCACCATGCCCCCTGCCTGCTGCTTCATAAAACAACCCAGACGATGCCGCTTCTATCCGGCAAAGGCCGCTTGGCCCAATGGTTAAGGCGTCTGACTACGACCGAGCATGATATGTAAACGTGCTTGACTTAGTTAATCAGGAGATTCTGGGTTCGACTCCCAGGGTGGCCTCTTTTTATTTCATTTTCGAGCGGTTTTGGTGGCGTGGCGGATGCGCTGTGGAGTTGTTTCGACTTTGGTGGAAGGGTTGGGTTGGGTTAGTTAGGGCTCTCCCCTGTATTCGTTTTGTTAGGTTGGACGGAGTGTGAGTGAGATAAGGGGATTTCAGCTTGTGCGTACCTATGGATAGGTACCGTAGGCAGCTAAACGAGTAATTCTAATAATAATTCAATTCGCCTATCGCTTCTTGACAAGCGCGCGTGGACACTCGAAGTCTATCAGGATATTTACAGAGAGGGCATGGAAGGTAACTGTAGATACGGCAAAGGGACCGAAGCCAATACGATGAAGAGATGCGTTATTTGAACTTTGGGCAGAAAGATTCAAGGGTGATCGAGACCTTCATCGTTACCCAACTTATAGCCTATTGCACTTAAGGTACCTAGTGATAGATTAACTTACACCCACCACACCTAGATAGATAGATACGACATGGTCATGACTTCAGTTGCATTCACTAGCACATACGCATACTACACGTACCTAGATACCTAACTACCACGCAGACAGCATATGTAAGTCTAAGACACGACAACCAGACCATCACCATGACTCACTTCAGTTTTCCATTCAAACGCCTCAACAGGCATGCATTGGATTGCTGACTTGGTCCCTCTATCGTAATCCTACAACGATACAACGAACCTTTAGTCCTCAAAGAAACTTGGTTTGAAAAAAAAAAAGAGCAATCCGGTTTTGGTTTTGCAAAGTCTAGCCGCCTAGTGCGACATTTTTGGCCACCTCCTTTCCTCTCTCAACTTCCCCTTGTGAAATACGACAATTAGCCAGCTCTATGAATATGTGTGTGTTCGTTCCCACCAAGAGCCCGTCTCTGCATGTAAAGTTGATGCCAATATAACGCCGCTATTCCTCTTATTTTGTACAAGGTCCTTAACTTCTGTTGTGAGAAGCATAATTCACGACCTGATGGTAGTGTAGGTGATAACCCTTGGTAATGGGTTAGACGTCGATCTCGCCATCTGCAATGGCAAGTCGCTGTTTCGTTGTCTTGGCCTTCTTGCTGCCTCCTTTACGCTTCTTGACGACCTTCGCATCTCCGGCTTCCACGGGAGTAGCGGTGCCAGAAGGCTTGTTGCCATCATCGAAATGACCCTCACCTAGAATCGTAAAGTTAGTATGTTTATCTTATGACATAAAGAAATCCATACAGAATGTGACTTACCTTCGTGGTACATCTCGTCCAAGCTGACTGCCTCCCGCTTCCTCTTATTGCCGCCTCGCTTCTTATTCTGCTTCTCAAGCTCACCGCTTTCGAGTAATTCCTTCTCGCGCTGTTCAATGAGCTCGGCCTGCTCGTCGTCGGCAAGCCACATGGCAATATCGCGGTTGCGGTTCTCCTGGCGACGACCGCTAAAGTCAACGCCGCGAGCCCCACCTCCCTGGATGACGACACGTTGGACTTCCTCCTTCTGCATTGCACGCTTACGAATACGTTCTTCAATAGTGCCGCGCGTAATGAGACGGTAGACTGTGACTTGCTTTGTCTGGCCGAGACGATGAGCACGATCCATAGCCTGAGAATCGATAGTGGGATTCCAATCACTGTCGTAGAAGATAACTGTGTCGGCCGATGTAAGATTGATACCAAGACCACCAGCACGAGTTGACAGGAGGAAGACAAAGATGTCAGGTCGCGTCTGGAAGTCATGGACTGTGTCACGACGATCCTCCAGTTTCGTCGAACCGTCAAGCCGACAATACTTGTAGTTGCGATACGTAAGGTATTCCTCCATCAGGTCAATCATCCTCGTCATCTGGAAGTACAATAGTACACGATGGCCCTCCTCCTTGAGCTTGAATAGTAGCTGGTCGAGTTTCGCAAGTTTTCCACTGTCGGTGACGAACCGACGCATGCTGGGGACGGTAATATTCGTGAACCGTCGCTTCTCACCGTCCGGCTGAGGCAGCATCGCAGGTGGCGGGTAGCGTTCGATCGGAGTTTTCTGCAACACCAGAGCCTTCTCTTCCGTCAAATTAGGTCCATACAAAATCTTGCGCATTTGTGCGTTGAACAGCGTATCTTCACGCTCGGCAACTGGGGCTCGAGTACCCTCACATGAGACCTCAATGGGAGGAGCAGAAGCACCAGGCAAAGCCGCTTGTTCAAGTCGACCAAGACCAGAATCCCGCCATGTTCCCTTAGAAATGTTCATGAGATTATCGAGCACACCTTCGCTTGTAATCTCGGCCAACGGTTTGCGGTCAGTTCGAGCAGCGATCTGGAATAACGCATGAGTGGGTGCATAGTTCTTTTCACCCTCCTCATCATATATCACGTTCATTCGGCCAAGTCGGTTTTGCTTCTTGACTAGATCTGTAGCTCGTGAAAAAAGACCTTGGTGACTGGCTTTGTAGGCCTCTTCGGGGCTGGCATCAGCGAACCGAAGGAAAGAGAAAGCATCATTGCCGGATGTGCTTTCGAGTATATTCTCCGGGGTCCAGATGTTCATAAGATGGTTCAGGTACTTATTCCTAAAGCCAGCCTTCTCGTTGTCCTTCCCGGCTTTGTGTAATCGACCACCTTCAGTCCAGACTAAACGCGGCAAATTGTACTCGATGAGATTTCGAGTCGAGTAGCCGACCGAGACATTATTTCCCTCGCGGACGAATGAAGCAGTCTCAGCAAAGTAGCCTGTGAAGAATGGACTCGTTGTGTCCGCACGTTCAAATAAGTCGGGATGGTTACACACTTTTCGGAACTGCATAACGAGGTTCATCAGCGTGCCAGAATCCTGGTCATCTCCAAGAGTCGCCTTCTCTATCAGATCCATGATACTGATCTGATTTCGCAAGTTCCTGTAGTAAGCGCGCTGTCGGTAGGTGAGTTCGCAGAACACATCGAGCTCAATCTTGTCGCCAAGCTCCTTTTGCACATGCTTCTTTACACGACGCAACATGAACGGTTTGAGGATCAAATGCAGCCGCCTAAGCTGGTCCTCATTAAGGGTCGTGTTGCTTTGGGCGTGAGATTCGATATCTTTCGAAAACCATTCGCTAAATTCATCGTGTGAGTCGAACAAGGAAGGCATGATGAAATGTAGAAGGGCCCAGAGTTCTTGCATGTTATTCTGAATGGGAGTACCTGTGAGAAGAAGTCGATTACGGCAGTGGAAGCCAAGCAGACACTTCCAACGTGAACTTTGGGAGCTCTTGATAGCTTGCGCTTCATCGAGGATCATGTACTGCCAACGCATCTTCTGGAAGTACGCAACGTCCGAGACCACGAGTTGATAGGATGTAACTAGGACGTGGAAAGGAGCATCCTTCCGGTAAGTGTTATGCTTGCGATCCCAGAACTTGCGCAGCACCTTTCGGTCACCAGCTGTACCCCAGTACGGGAGGACCTTGAATTCGGGGACAAACTTCGCGATCTCCTGCTGCCAGTTGTGGAGAGTAGACGCTGGCGCGACTACAAGGTAAGGACCCCAGATGTCATGTACTTCGGCTAGGTAGGCCATGACGGAGATAGACTGGACAGTCTTTCCGAGACCCATTTCGTCGGCTAGAATACCGTTGATACCTTGTTCGTAGAGGTTAGCAAGCCAGTTGAGACCCTTCAACTGGTATTCCTTCAGTTGACAATTCAGCAGTTTTGGCTGCTCAACCGTCACATCACCGAGGCCGGTCGGGTTCTGGAAGTTCATCTCGCCATCCTCATCCATATCATTGTCGGTCTTGTTGAAGCTTCGCGCTTTTTGTTGGGCTTCCGCAATGGCACTCTGAGCATTTGCCATAGCAGCTTGTCTCAACGTTTCCTCATCTTCGGCGTCGAAGTTCAGTTGACTGAAATCCGTAACCTTCCCAGCAGGTGCGTTGGTCGGTTCGTCGATATCAACATTAGAGGGTTTGGATAGAGCGTTGGCATCTGGTGCGATATCCGGGTTATCGGTGCTACGCTCCACCTCGTCCGTCTTGATCTTCTTGCCAATAAAGTGAGAGTAGAGTTCGGTTTGCGAGATCAAGAAGTTGAGCTTTCTCTTCTGGCGTGCAGCTTCACGATCAGCTTCCTCCTTGCGGGCATTCTCAAGCTCTTGTCTCTCTGCCGCTTTGCGTAAGTCGCGCTCTTCACGTTCGTTACGTTTCCAGAAGCTCATCATATCGCGCATACATCGCTTAGCACGGGCTTGAAGATCCTTGGTGCCCTTGTTGGTACGAAGCTGCCATCGCTTAGCTTCCTTTGAAGCCAATATCGCAGTCTTCTTGAGGTTAGAAGCCTTCGTGGCATAAGAGTCACAGGCCAGCTTGTATGCTTTGGGAACATCTTTGCGTGCAAGGTCGCGCCAGATCTGATCGTAGATCTGGTTATAGCCTTTGGACTGGAACTTAGACTCGAGAGGATTAGGGGGAGGTTCTTCAACCGACTTCTCCTTCTCCTTCTGTTCCTTTGTGGCAGCGTCCTTAGCTTCCTTATCCTTCTCTTTCGGTTCCCTGGACGAGGCCTTGCTCAACTTTATTCGGATCTTGGTCTCTTCCTTTGTAGGTAACTCCTCGCCTGCATCTAGAGCAGCTTGAGCAGCGATGGCAGAGTCCTTCTCTGCCTGCTTCTGCTCCTTAGACTTCTTCGGGCGATTACCGCTACGGCCTTTGCCCTTGGCCTTGTTGCTGGCCTCCAGTTCCGTAGCCTGGAACGTCGACATGGTACCGCCCTCCAGGTTTAGTTCAAGCGGAGCCAAGTTGCGTGCCGGACCCTTAATACCCTTTTGCAAGATCAACTTAGTTTGCTGTGCCTTCTTGTTAGCACGTTCCGCATCCCGTAAGTATTTCGCGCGTTCTGCGTCATCTTCGGCAGCAAGTGCCTTTGCCAAGGCAGCTTCCTTCTGCTCGATCGTGACTTGCATAGATTTCTCTCTACGTCGCTTTCGTTGCATGTCCTTCTTGCGCTCCTTTTCAGCGAAAATCTCGCGTTCTCTGACCTCATGCAGGGCATCATC